AAACAAATTGAAATAAATCTCGAGAATCGATTGGCATTTGCGTTATAATCATAATACTACTTTTACAAGCTTTAGCTCATACTTCACAACTATATGAATGTGAAAATTTTTCATAACTTGCAATTTTTACTTTCTTTGCATTTCACGTTTTATTTCATTTTGTCCAAAAAATGTGTACGAGCAAACTTTCATTGTATTAGTAATTATCTTGTGCGTGTGAAGTTATAGAAATATTGGGAATTTACCAAAAGAAAATTTCCATCCCAAAAGTCGTAAAATTTCGACTTTTTTTTAATTTGAACCGCAAAATGCAGAGTACAACGTAGCTATTTTCGCATGCCCTTAAAACTTACGTTATAGAAAGCCGCGTATGTTGGATGCAATGAAATATTAAAAAAAATGAAGATGGAAGTTAGATATAAATATATAAAATGCGTGATTTGCTCTGCAGTAAATCTTGATTCAGCGGGCTGGCCAACTTGTAATGCGTACCTAATTTGAATCAGTGAGTTGCGGGCCAAAGCTTCAGGTAGCCGTAAAATTCTATAAAATCGTTTGCTGGTCGGTTTGGCTAATATAACACGCCAAAACCGCAACTGCACCAGGCATCTGCCGTTGAAAAACTTCTGATTGACAAAAGTTTCGTTTTTACAACGAGAAAGTATCGTAATTAACGTCGTTTCAACGTAATTTGCTTGAAACGATGAAGCTTGTATATTAGAGCAAAACCTGCGGCAATATGAGCTTCTCACTGTCGACGCAATCATCAGCAAACGTCAGAGCCACTCAACCTCGAAATGATCAATATTGTTGCAGGACGAGGATAGTTTTACGAATCATAGTTCAGTTAAATATGATATCAACCATCACTATCACACATTGTCATTATTTGGTAGCCTTATAGCGCATGAACCAGACATGAACCAGCATCAGAAATAGCGGGAAAATGCAACGCCTTTCATGCAAAACGTTCTGGTTTTCAGCTCCAGCTTAAGTTCATCTACGCGTGAATATGAAATTTCTAAATAAAAATTGCCAGTATGCAGAAAAAAAATTGTTCTCCGGAAAGAATTAAATTAATTTAGAATTTATTTTAATGTTTTATTTCTTTTTGAAAATTCGCAAATCGATTAATGGGTTCAACAATACAGTGAATACCAGCGGGAGAAACGATGCTGTGTCTATACAGACTTTATTCAACACGAACACGAATGAAGTTACGATGTCATGATGTTCTCATTGGGAAAAAAATTGCCGTGATCGAGCTTTTACTGCTTCATCGTTTTTTTTATCGTGGTTCATTTGTGGCCATACTTTCAAAACTGGTTAAGTGAACGTAAGTACTTACGCTCTATTTTCTTGTCTATGATTGGTGGATTTTGCTTGAAAGGCCGTCAATGATTGGCTGATGAACTTACGATCTCTAAACTTTTTTTGAAAGTATGGGCCCAGGTTTCTTATTCACCAGACTCAAAAATGTATTCAAAGCTCTGCGAGTTTGATCATGTGCGTCAATCAGAGCATTACTAATTACTAGTTAGCATGAAGTTTAGTTTTTAATGCTACGCCTGCAGCATGAAGTCTAGCTCTTCATGCTGCGCGTGCAGCATGAAGTCTAGCATTTATTTTACTCATCGATGCCAGCGATTTTTGTTCATACGATCGAAATATATTTTAGAAGTGTTGTGGGTTTAAACATTAGACTCCATCAATCAAAGCGTGAACACTTGTTTGTTATTAGCTGCACGAAGGCATCAATTTACTCATATTCAAACGTCAGTCGGAGCGCGATCATTCACAGGGAGTCATAGTTACCTGCCGAGATAATGATCACTGTGAACAAATGTGGTCCGCCGAGCACTTAAAACTTATTCCCCAATTCTAAAAACACCATTCTGACATCATGTGAGGAATATCATACTAAACATTTACATGGAATTGCTAACATGAGAGAAATTTTAATGATTAAACCACTTAAAAACATAAAAGGAGGCGAAAGATTTTACGCGGCGATGCAACCGCGGTGTCTTTTTCGTGAACAAAACAGATTATTAAATAAATAAACAAATATATAAATAAAATAAATAAAAAGAAAATGAAGAATTATTGCAAATTAATTATTCTTCTGTATGAATAAATTAAAAAGAATTGCCTATGAATAAGTTTGTTATGTATGACTAAAACAGACGTGGAGTAACGAAGAATTTCGGGTCGTACATAACTACCAGCGCAGCTGTGAATGAGACAGAACAGTTGTCTTTTTGAATACTCCAAAGCCAGCTTTCTCTTGTCCTGTCTGAAGCAACACTTGCGTCCGCTTCACTGCGAGTGTGCGCTGTGTTCGGTTAGGTTGTCTCGAGTGGTCGCTCGTAGCGGATAGTTGAAATAATGAAAATTTAGAATTTTAGATTTCATTTTGCGGTTTAGAAATTATTTTGTAGCTAGTTCGTAAACGCGCTCGCCACCGACAGAGTGAAATTGTTGTGAGTTTTGGTGACTGTATATATATATATATATTGGTTTAATATCGAGTGCCATGCAAAAATGTTCACCGATTTTTTAAATGGTTATATCTCCCCTTCAAATCATCATAATTTTATTATGATTAATTAATTCCAATTTAGGATAGACTTTTGTGAAAAACATACATTGTGAAAATGAAATTAACTTGAATTTATTAATTTAATGCAGCGATGTCGTCAATTAAAAGGTCAGAACATTTTTTGTGATGCCCAGTATCATTTTTTGTGCAATGCATCCAGTTTACCGTAGTTGTGTACGATTTGAAATTACCAATAAAGTTTATAGGAAAAGTGCAGTTCGCGGTAGTTCTAATAGATCTTTATGGAAATTTATGTTAACTGTGCATATCACCACAGCTTCATTGGCTATGGCTTCACAATTCCGGAGATTCTAAGGAGTGATACCCTCGGTGTCCACAACATATTTTTTATGCAAATTTTTATATTTGCATAAATTAATGGATTATTCACAACACTCGCCGTTCTCTTCAAGAAGTTTATGAATTTTTATTAAAGCTCCACACTGATTTGTTGACTGTGGGTTAAATATTATACATAAAAATCCCTTCGCAATTAACTTTAATTTTAAAAATTAAAGAAAAATATGTGTAAATCGTAATTGAGATTATTCATAGTAAAGATTTAAATTCATACATTACATGAGAAAAATCTTTTATTATAAAAATCCTTCATTTACCAATGGCTAAACATGTGAGTTGAGATTCCAGGTAAAAGAAGTTTCCCTAGGAAATTAAAACCTTCGTTTGTAGATTGCGGAATTTTTGCCGTTCGCAATTGACAAAGAGCTCTCAGCTTACTGTTCCCCAAGGGAAAGATTTAAGACATACCTAATCACCGATCCCTTAATTACTGTGCATTTTTTCTCCTAATTTCAGTGCTTCTTTGATATTACCTTTCCATTTGTGCTCAGGTTTGACGAGATTTGCATTGTACTAGAAAATACTCTTCGTACTCTGTTTGTCTTAATTTTGATGACGTCCGTGAGGCGGTGGTTACCCCTCTTGCCTTCTGTCCTACAATCTTTTCGCTGCGCACCTGCCCACTGAGTCTTGACGTTGCCATGTGTCAAGCCTCATGACAGAGGCTAGATAGATACGGCCAAAATGAGTTTGTACTTGTAAATTTAAGACAGTTTTGAGCAGATGCTTTGGGCTTCTAGCTCCAATGGATTTTAGCAATTGATCGTATAAAATACGCAGCCTTCTAATATATTTTGCTCACAGAAATAAATTTTTGTTAATTGTGAATTTTTAGACGCGGACTGCCAAGAGCACGCACTCCTCTTCAGTGATGATAAAGATTACATACATGCTCGTACTGACTACATATGTGACGAGGCTTCATGCGTAATGTGCCACGCTTAAGCATTCTGGCTGCTGCGTAGCCTTGTCGATACCACGAAGTTTTAAAGGGTTGCTCAGTACTCTGAACTTTCGTCGTTTATTTTTACCACAGCTTCTATACATGACTTGCTTTATCATCTAAGAAAGATGGAATAGTTCTACCCATAGACAAAAATCATAACTGATGGCTTTTTCTTATCGCGATATTACTCTGCTTTAAAATGTGGTCAAAATTCACGTTTCGCTCTCCGATTGCCAGCTACTGCCGTGATCATGGGTTATTTGAAAGCACCTGTTCTCTCGCTTTGCGTGGAAATGCCTGCTTAGGAAATATGCCTTCTTGTATACATTGTAAATACTTGTTCTACAATCGTCTATTCGAAATAAAAAATGCGGGAGTTTCTTAATGAACAGCGATGCGACTTAGAGCCTCTTTATAATCTAGGCTCATTTGGGTGCGTGTTCGTTCTGTATGTTGTGAACTGAGGTGTTGGGAGCAGGAGTGCCGTTCGAGGAAGATTTGATTCCTTTACTTCACAAACTCCTCCTGATATTTACCCATTAGAATACCGGAATTATCACTTGTGTGTACAATTACGATATTGCAGAGACTGGCCAGATCACTGACACAGTCTTAATGAGCTATCTGATTACTCTCTGGGATCACTCGCAGCGATAGGGATTGTTGTTTTTCCAGTTAGACAGTTTCCCAGTTTTTTAATGGTTTGTGAACACGTCGATGTTCTCCGATTTCGTTGGAATCGCATATCACCAGCCAAATCCTTATTTTCTCCCTTTCCTTATTTTTAACTCTGATTCTTTTGTCTCGACGAGCTTCGTCAACAATTCTTATTGTTCTTAAATACCAGAAGTATCCTATAATTGTGAAGACACCACATCTTATTACATCAAATATGTAAATCCAGTTCAGACCTTTGATGTCTTAAAATTTTGTTGGCTAATAGAACGTTGTGGATGATGCTATTCTTCTATTATGGTTGTCGTACTCTACTGGTATAACGGTAGTAAGGATTGTGTGTGTAGGTAAAATATGGTAAAATAACATTTAATACAAAACCTAATGAATTTTTTTACAGTGACTATTATCATTGTTTGAAAGTTGTTAAAAGTGAAAAGAAACCTTATAGTCAGAATGATGAAGGAGCTTCGCATAAAGAACATCCTCGCTGGCCTCTTCACTTCGGTGAGACTGTCGTCAACTTATGTTTGTTCATGAGACATGTCATCAAAATATACGGTGTTAAACTTAGCTATTTTGCTGCGTGACAATTGAATGACGAGCAAACACTTATTGGATTCTCGGTGCATGCTTCATTTTTGCTTATTTATCTTTAATGCAATTGTGTATATAACATATTGTATGACCGCGTTGAAATGTTCACAGGTTACATGCCTCAAAATTAAAACCAGTCGGCATTAAATACCAGATATCAAATATGTTTGAAACCTTTCTTAATAGATTGTCAATGAGAGTTTATTTTTATTACGGGAATTCGTTTTACACAGGCCGACTTTGCGAATGCTAATTCCTAAATATTTTATTTTATAGGAGCTAACTAAATGCACTTAATGACAATTATGCATAGACGAACATAATTTTTTATATTTTAATTTAGGAAAATCATCTGACATAATCAGCTGCGAGATCCTCAATAATAATCAATTTGAAAATTAATTGCAATGAATTGACATTCTTGAAACTCACTCAGTTGCCAACGGCTAACATATTTTTTTGAGAAGGTACATCGAGCATATTTTTGGTTGTCATAAATTTCCCAAAAGTTCCTTTCATTAATAAGCATCGTCTATGCGAGTTAATTTAAGAGCACTGAAAATTTATTGAGATTCGCTTTTACCATTTGCCAGTCTCACAAAAATGTCCTCACTTTAATTGCACGGTTACTGCTTCTTTTTGCACCACAAACACTACGTATCTTCTTGTATAGTTATCATGATTAAATCAACTTCTAATGCAGCAATCCAATTCTGAATATATCCGAAGATAGTTGTTATTATTTCTTATTCTAATGCCTTATGTACTGTTATTTACATTAATTTATTTTCCCAATACTGTTCTCGCCTTTCATTTTAACTTATTCTGTGTTGCAGGCGCTGTGCTTTGGACTCTCCATGGCGTCGTATCCCGACAGCGTGAGTACCGTGAGCTGCTACAATATTCTATTTGCTAGTTAGATTACCACTTGTCCATAATCCGTTTGGTGCGGTTATGTTTTATTAAGTTAACTTTCGTGCAAAAAAATGTTACAGCTAGGCTCTAAGTTTCTTTAGACCCAAAATGCTCGCATTTTTTATTTTTTTTAACAACGCATGTTCCCCTGATGTTAGAGTAGAAGATTAGAGCATTTACACCGTGGGACTTTATATATATCGAAATTTACATTCTTGTATATAATATATACAAAGTTATGGGCAAAGTTTGAACATTTGTAAAATTTTACAGAAAGTTTTTGTTTGTTCTAGTTGAGACATGAGATAATTTTAGGTTTTGGTCAATTAAAAATGGAACTGAAAGATTCCATTTGTAATTAATGTTGTGTGCTCAATTAATTAGTCATTAATTGAATACAGTTATCATGATCAATCCGATCATTTGATTGGAAATGATTTACGATCACGTTCACGAAACTACGTTTAATCTTTCGCATTCAGCAACATCGAATCGATTAATTGCACGTCGGAAGCATAACACGTCTGTGCTCTTTGACCGAGCCAAATTGTGTCAGTGTAACCTATTCTGAATCAAACACACACTGAAGTACATCGATACATCAACAAAGTCAAATTTAATTCTCTAACTGTGATCCACGCACTTTCACCCAAAGCCCACTCATAGCCTTATATAAATCCTTGAAAAAAATCTTAACTTTTCATCGCTTACAGATACGAACTTTATTTGTAATTATTAACCTTCAACATTTCTAGTAATTCACCCATGTTCACCCGCAGGTAAACGTGGCTTCGCGCTCGTCTGGACTGCAGGGCTGTCGGGCGACCACCACTTCCGTGCGCTTCAGGACCCTGACGATGCGAGGGCCGAAATCGATGGTGGTGAGCCTTGCAAATACAAAAAAAAAAACACTTGCAGCACTCCCAGCGGAAAGTATATAGACCCTATCAGGTCATATACATTTTTTCAATATCAAGCTGGAAACATGTTTGAGACATAGCGATTTATCCCCTGCCGATTTTGTTCCACGAATTTTTGCATATTGCTCCATGATATTGTGAATTATTTTTCGAGTCGTTTACCTGTCATCACTTTTTTCATGCCGGTATATTGAATTTCATTCATTTGAGTAGAATTAATACTCGTATTTTGAGCTAATGCATGAATCACACTCGCTGTTTACATATTTTATGAGACTTAATAAATGATTAACAGGTGGAGCAACGTGAGTCTTTCCTTTAAACATATGGACGAAAACGTGTCCATATATCCTTACCGACGCTAACGTGTGTCCTTCCTTCGGACGTACCGACACTAACTTGTGTCCATCTATCAGACGTACCGACGCTATACAACGTGAGTCCTTCCTTCAGACGCAACGACGCTAACGTGTGACATTTCTTCAAACGCACATACGATAACGTGTGTCCTACCATTAGATATACACATGCCAACGTGTGTCCTTCCTTGAGACGTATATACCCGCGCTAGAGTGTGTCATTCCTCCGACGTTACGACGCTAACGTGTCCTTCCTTCGGACGTACTGATGCTAACGAGGAAAGAACACACTAACGTGTGTCCTTCCTTTAGACGTACCAAGGTAAACTTGAGTCCTTCTCTCAGACATTACGACGCTAACTTGTGTCTTTCCTTCAGACGTACCGACGCTAACGTGTGTCCTTCTCTCAGACATTACGACGCTAAAGTGTGTCCCTCCTTCAGACCTACCGATGCTAACGTGTCTTCTTCCTTCTGACGTACCAACTCTAATGTATGTAATTTCTTCAGACGTACCGATGGTAACGTGTATCCTTCTCTCATATATACCGATGATAACGTGTGTCCTTCCTTCAGCTGTACCGACGCTAAAGTGTGTGCTTCTCTCAGACGTACCGACGTTAACGTGTGTCTTTCCTTCAGTACTACCGACGATAACGTGTGCCCTTTCTTCGGAGGTACCGACTCTAACGTGTGTCCTTCCTTCAAACATACCGAAGCCCGAAGCTAATGTGTGTCCTTCCTACAGACGTAACGACGCTAACGTGTGTCATTCTTAGACATTCCGACGATAACTTATGTCTTTCCTTAAAATGTAACGACGCTAAAGTGTGCCATCCCTCCAGACGTACCAACGCCTAACGTGTGTCCTTCCTTCTGACGCAACGACGCTAACGTGTGCCCTTCCTGCAGACGTAAAGACGGTAACATGTGTCATTACTCCAGACGTACTGACGCTAACGTGTGTCCTTCCATCAAACGTACCGACGCTAACATGTATTATTTCTTGAGACGTGCTGACGGTATCGTGCGTCCTTTATTCAGACGTACCGACGCTAAAGTGAGGCTTTCCTTCAGACGTACCGACGCTAACGTGTATTCTTCCTTCAGACGTACCGACGCTAACGTGTATCCTTTCTTCAGACGTATCGACGCCTTCCGATCACGGCGAGCGATTTGGCCTCCGTAACGACTGCGTCCAATAACATCGCAGCTTCGGATGTGGTTCAGTGCGCAAGAATGTCTGCTTTGGCAAGTGAGAAACCTACTTTTAATTCCATCATGGGGGAAAGCATTTTTCCTTTTATCGGAGAATGACGCACTAAGTCCGAGAGACACTTATTATTAGCTTTTAATTTGTTATTGCTATTTCACTACTTGGATAACACCAAAAGGTTATCGCAAACGATATCTGATGATAAAATGTTTAGTTCTACTGACAGAATATTGGTAGCAGCCTTCAGGATGAACTTACCTTGCATACGGGCAAGGCTGACCAGACCAAAGGCGGCGATCTACTGTATCACCGATACAACGACGCGGTTTCGAGTCTTGACTTCCGGGCTTATTTAGGCATGATTCTCACCTTTCTGCCTGACACGTGTCAGGCATATGCCAGTAACGGACCGTTCCCAGCTAGGTGCATTTGCATGTTTAGTTCGGTCACGGGTCGTCCTCCCTTTCAGTCCCTTTCGTAGTCCTTACTTCGGTCCCTTTCGTTGTTCTTACTTCAGTCCATTTCGTAGTCCTAACTTCAGTCCCTTTCGTATAGTCCCAACTTCAGTCACTTTCGTAGTCCCAACTTCAGTCCCTTTATTAGTCCTCACTTCAGTCCCTTTCGTAGTTCTCACTTCAGTCCCTTTCGCAATCCTTACTTCAGTCCCTTCATTAGTCCACATTTCAGTCCCTTTCGTAGTCTTAACTTCACTCTCTTTCGTAGTCCTCACTTCAGTCCCTTTCGCAGACCTTACTTCAGTCCCTTTATTAGTCCTCACTTCAATCCCTTTCGTAGCCTCACTTCAATCCCTTTCGTAGTCCTTACTTCAGTCCCTTTCGCAGACCTTAATGACCTTACTTCAGTCCCTTTATTATAGTCCTCACTTCAATCCGTAACTTCAATCCGTTTCGTAGTCCTCACTTCAATCCCTTTCGTAGTCCTGACTTCAATCCCTTTCGTAGTCCTTACTTCAGTCCCTTTCGCAGACCTCACTTCAGTCCCTTTATTAGTCCTCACTTCAATCGGTTTCGTAGTCCTCACTTCAATCCCCTTCGTAGTCCTTACTTTAGGCCTTTTCGTATTGTTTTCATCATTTCAGTTCTTTTCTTCCCATGCCAGTGACGTCCCGGTCTAAATATCTTTTGCCTTGATCGTGGCTTGACCGTTCTTGGCATGACAAGTGCTTTGCACGGCTGGTGTGCAAGCTTCTATTGAAATGCAGTAAATAATATTGGACTGGACCGTGACTGGTGGGGGCTGGGCAGTATGTTGTGAATCAAGCCTAATTATGAAACTTTTTGCGCACGTTTGTAATTATCAGTCGACTTTGACGAAACAAAATGTTAGTTGAAAGATACGATCAGCTAAGGTCTGATTGGCCCAAATTTAGGGACCTGACATAATGTAATCAGCTCCATATCATAAAGCATTTAATATATTATTTGTCAATGTATCTTAATGTGTAAACAAACTATGTATCCTTATATGTATCAAAACCATGTTAACAACTCTCCATTGTTTTGCAAATTTATTATGACGTGTTTTCAAGTGGTTGTGCCAAAGTTGCCTTCAATTGGGGGAACTTTATGCCATACTTCTAAACAATTCGAAACCTATGTTAAGTATTGGTTGGGTTAGAGTGAGGCATAATAAAATTACTATCTGATTTCGGTTTTCCCCTCTGACTAGCTAATTATTATCGACATTAAAAATTCAGTTCACAAGGTGATCCATCAACAAGCATGTAAACTCAGTAATAAGGAGCAGTGATTGCAAAATCTGTTTTTACTCCTGCGGCTCTTGTGAGATACAAATTCAATGACATATATTAATCACTTAAGCATTAATCCCATTTCTGTGAATCACATACAAAATTACCACTAAGCGAATTAAATTTTTCCAGATATGACTGCCTTTGCGTTCGATGGAACCTGCACGGCTTACCAATTCAACAGGAAGCTCTGCTCCTGTCTTGGTGGCGAGAAAGTCATTTACGTTGCGAATTCCAGCGTTTCCTACGGACCCCCTGCAACTGTGCCTTTCAGTGAGTCCCTGAGATACTTGTATGGATAAGCTGTAACATTAATGTGTATGCAAATTAATGTGTATGCAAATAAGATGCAAAATTCGTAGTTCAGTTGACCAGCATCACATAAAATCATGTTACACATTACAATTTTCACTGGAATAATAGATGAACGTAGAATTAGGATTTGATTTGTGCAGCAGAGAATTTGCTCTAAAGTCGAAATGTCAGCGATCGCGGGAACCCTGAAATAAATAAATGTGTTAAGGTTTTAGTTGCTTGAGTGAACTATTTCTGATTCCACAACCAAATACAATAAATTCATCGTCATCTGACTACATCCATCTGTATTCACAAGACTCTCGCGTAACTCCCACGTAAATCATAAATAACACCTAGCAGGCTAGCGTTAGAGGGCAAAAGTGTTGTTCAAGTGACTTTATTATGCGCGGCCGGGACTTACACTAATCTTGAGCCTAAAGGCAATTTTTCACGCGGCTAGTATTAGCTGCGGGTACGCGCTGCAAGTTTTTGCACTCCCAGTTTTGCCGGCTGAAAGCTTAATTACGAGGATAATATTTGGTAAACAGTATTTTTGCATCCGCAAGTGCCAGTTCGTCGTACAGACCTCGTTCAAAGCCGTCGAGAGAGGTCTGTGCATGGTTGAATATGGAACGTAACGGTAACGACGAGATTGAGGAAGCGTTTGATGAAGCAGGCAATGGAACCTGCTGAGGAGGTGAAAAACTATGTAGATCAGCGTAGAGTTTGCGTAAGAGAAATGATAAGGTACGGTTCAAGTTTCAAAACACTACTTTCTCCATTAGTTTTTGCTGGAATATTCATCGCGACGCATATTATACCGTAGATCATACATTTGAAATATTGATAAGAACAGTTCAATATCATTCGAACACCTCTTGGCGTTCTTTGAACTGGCGCCGTTGGGACAAGACAGAGTTTATAACATTAGAAATATTCGCCCCCTAGAGCGATATAGAGTGGCACAGATGGGCACATTACGGTTACTGCAGCATCACTGCCAATACTTGGTGGCACATTATCAACCTGTACTGCTTCAGACGCATTTGCATCAGCTACTTACTGAAAAAAATAATCTCAATATTTTGAGTGCAAATATATGCATTGAATACTCTGATCTAATTCTAGCCCCATGTAAAAGCACCCTGACTTTCGCCACATGGCCCTCAGCAGACCTTGCCTGTCAACATTGAGTGCGGGGGGTGTCTTGAAAAAGTTAGAAGTTCAGCGTGAAAGCTCGCATTTGTGGAGTTCCGATGGATATGATTGAGTTAAGGAAAAATAAAGGCCGGTAACTCTGAGCCAGTGTGAGTTCAGGTTTACTAATATCCACATGAGGGGGTGAATGTGCGTGTCCTTACCGGTGTGTATCTTGGATTATTGTAGAGAGTAAGTGTAGGCGTGCGCATTTAAATGTGAGCTTAGTTTATGCCATGCGCTAAACTACCGCTATGGTGATTATTTCAGGGTCTTATACGTTTTCAGTAGGATGTTCTTCCTCTATTTAGGGAAATTGTGCATAGTATAGTAATCTCGTAAACGTTCGGGGTTACACTGCAGAACCAGTTGTGCACAACGGTTTAGGACCAAAGTATATGAAATAACAATCACTTGTATAAATAGTACTGAGAGACAATCGTACCCAAACTTTGGATACTAAATCTTACGATAAGCGAGGTATAATCACACAAGTCGCTACCACTACATAGCTCCAAGGTCTTTCCAGCTAATAGCGAGCAGGTGACACCATCGGTCAGGTTCCCTGGAGATTGTGCTCATACCTTTCCTTAAAACTTATTGGCGCTCATTCCTCATGCTAACCTCCGACCAAATATTCACTTGCCTAGGATAGTTATTTGTTATCCACCTCTATTAAAAAGACCCTTCTGTTTAACAAATCGTTTAACCTTGACAGTAAATCGTGGTTTACCTATGTATATCTCAACAGGTACCGCTCCCTACATCAACACCACTGTCGAAAACATCGTATTCAAGAAGTACCAGCTCGTGAATTTCTTCTCGGATGTCCTTTCTCAAGATTTGCAATCATTTGACGGATATGGTAAGTAGTTTAAAATGTCTGAAATACTTATTGCTCGTGTCAAACTAAAAGGAACAATCTTAAGTTCGCTCAACACCGCTTTAACAATACCTAATCTTGAGGAGGTATAGTTTCTTTAATCCAGTAAAATTTGAAGCAGCGCTTGAACTGTGCACCACGCACCGTAGGTGGCAGGCACGTAATAGGAATGTCTCCTTGTCCTGATGACATCTGCCGCTGAGTTTGTTTGAAATGTTACCAATTATTTTGCTCTTACGCACGTCATTCCCATAATCACGATGAAATGGAGCTGATCTTCATTTTTGCCAAGTGAAAGTTTGACATGGGGACTGTTAAGAGTGCAGAAACTAGCTTATTATAGGCTCTATGCACCTGATTTATTGATGGGAGCTGCCAGCCTCAAGATGGTAAACACGACACGATAGAATTTGATTTTATTTCTCCATCTTTATTTTTTCAGTTATCGTCTTCTGCTGCCGCCTTATGAGTGGCACTGAGTATTTTAGCGCGCGAAATTTTCAAAGTTATTAAAAAATTTATTATTAGTTTTCGGCATACGATTTTAAAACGTACATTAATTCAAACTTTAAAATTCAATCAAATTGCACTCTATAGTTGTATTATATTCTAATTAAATAAGCAATGATAGATTATTTTCCCTCCAGCGGTCCAAAATCCCCAGTACTATTATGTCTTACCTCGAGAAGACGGTTTCAACGCTGCTCCTGTCTACTATTTGGACGTGGCTTCTTGCGTCACTGACACCCCATGCGGGATGCCCGTCCTCGTCAACACAATTTGGCCGACTTATTACATACGTGAGCACCAGAGCACATAATTTGTTTTCATAACTAAGGGAACAAATAAGCGTTGTGTTTGCTGGTTATACCAATAACCATTGTGTTTGCCAGTTAGTCCAATAACCAATGTTATAATTGCTGCAAAAATTAGAATGAGGTGTCATACATGAGTACCGAGGAGTCCAACTAAACTTACTTCAGCTTATGGGAAAAGCTGGTACGATGAACTTAAAAAAAATTAATCGCCATCGTAAGATATTAAATATTTGCTTAGCGATGAAAACAATTTCGCATGTTTAACTAGTTGGTTAAACAGTATTTTGTTAATAAACACTCTGTGAATGGGATAGCCGTGACAAAAAGACAACACTAAGTCAGACAGACGTGGACAATTAGAAAGGCTCTTATTAGCAGAGTTGAAAATGTTCAAACACTAAGTTTAAACGATCCCAAATAAGATCTTGCCTCTTCCGCTTCAAATCAATTTGGGGCTAGTGGAACAGTTTGTAAAAACATTAAGCAAAATGGAAATTGTTTCAAGTATATTCATGAAAAATTTCCTGGTCTATCTTATGCTAAGCTGAAAGAGGGAGTTGGGCCATACATACATACATAAGAAAACTTATAGAAGATGAAACCTTCGTCATAGAATAGAAATGGGAGAAAAGATTACCCGGAATTCATTTAAACTAGTTGTAACAGGCTTCCTTGGAAACAGAAGAAATTCCATGTCCTGATTGCTGAATTGTTACAAAACTACAAAATGTTGAGCTACAATGAGTTCTGAGTTCATTTGCTTCACTCACACGTGGATTACTCTCCAGAAAATCTTGGAGCTGTAAATGAGGAACAAAGAGATGTTTTCATCAAATATTTGAGAAATGGAGAGCGGAAATCCAAGTTGACGAAATATCATGATGGCAGACAACTGCTGTATGTTAATTATCAAAAATTCAAATGAACACAGCCAGAAAGAGTAAAAATTTAAATAATGACATCAAAAAGTTTAATAACAATATCAGTGAAAACATCAAGAGGCATAAAAGGGAGAAATGGAAAACATTTGTAGCAGAAGACTGGGACCAAAAGAAAAACACGGATAAATACTGGATAGTGATCAAGGGAACTCAGAGTAAGACCGAGGGAAGACCCTATCAAAATTTGGATGCCTGTCAGCCGCTGGCTCAGGGTCGCCCCAAATTCTTTTTGCGGTGTAAATTAGAAGCTCTATGTCCGCTTTAGGTTCCGGTTGCCGGAGCGAAATAAGCGCCGAAAGAGAATCTTGTGAAATACCCGTCGAGCTTGGGGCGATCGTGGGGCTGTCTCTTATACACATCTAGATGTGTATAAGAGACAGCAGCGCCACAACTAAAGGCAGGGGCTAGTCGCGCTCGCGCTATAAGAACTCAGGCCAGCTACTGAGCAGGGTAAGCCAATGGTGGCCTGGCCAGCCGCTGATTTCGTGTGTCATTTGACCCTTATATTTTTTCCCATGAAACTACCCAAAATAGCTACTACTGGGCGGCTAATTATGAGATGCGGCCATTTCACATCTGAATCATCTCTAATCCGAGACTGGCAACCGAAACCAGACCGTCTGCCGCGGCTAAATTTTGACAGGGGAGCAACTAACATCGTGATAAAATTCGGAACGAAGCTGAAAAAGAACAAGAAAGAAATTGCGGAAGGTTTCGAAAAACTATGCACGAGATCCGCAAAGTAGGTGAGCAGCAGGCTCAAAAGAACAACTAACAGAAAGCTGAAAAAGATTCAGAGAAAAGAGGTTGTAATCACTAATGATGAGGTGAAGAAGGCAATAGCAAGATCAAAAAGCAAGAAATCAGAGGGTCCGGACGTAATAATACCGCTACACTTGAAACATCGAGGACCAGCGGCCATATATAAAACACCTAACAAAGTTATTCAATGAAGTGGACAACAGGAAAAACAGACCAGAACAGTGAAAATTAGCAAGAAAAATAGCCATATCAAAGCCAGGAATAGATCGCGCAACATCGGCATGTCGTACAGACCGATCTCGCTTCTTTCGCCAATTGTGAAGGCACTGGAAAGAGTTCTTTAGGACAAAGTTGTAAACGACATTCCCAATATCCAACACATACATTGATACAAAAGAATGCATTCAACAACATCGGCACTACCCAAAATAAACGATGTCATCTGTGCAGGTTTCAAGGAAAAGGCATCTCCCAATCGAACGATATTGGCGGCCTTAGATATGAGTAGCGCTTTCGACACAATCAATTATGAAAGCATGATAGAAATGCTGCTGCTAACAACAATAACTAAACAGATTTTTAAGTTTCTAGCAAAATATCTAATAGGACGGAAATGTTATGTGGACTACTACGGAAGCAAATCAAGACAAAGAACCTATCATATAGGGGTCCCTCAGAGGGAGTGCTGTCCCCAGTACTGTTTAACGTATACATGGCGGACCTACCAACACCGCAAGAAGAGGGAATTGAAGTGGTGACCTATGCCGACGACATCACGGTATTGGTAAGTCATAAAGATCTACGGGCAGCCAAATACAACATCACTACTTACCTTAACAGCCTTTCAGAATGGATAGAGAACAACCACCTGTTGCTCAACACAAAGAAAACTCAAGTCGCACTATTAACACCGGATCCCAAGCAGTACAGCGTCAACCTGGAACTCAATGTGAGAGGAACAACGTTGGAAATGGAGAAACATACGAGAATCTTGGGATTGACTTTCGATCCAAAGATGACATACTCTGAACATGTAAGAATAACTGCGAGCAAAGCAAAGAAAAACGTCAACATATTAAAAGCCCTATCAGGAGCTGAAGGATACGAAAACTATTGTTCATACCAACAAGGCGATGCTGATACATCCAGTTCCAGAGTATGGAAGTACATCCAGTTCTGATACATCCAGTTCCAGAGTATATGGGGTCCCAGAACATCGGACAGGGGCTGGCATAAGATTCAAACTATTCAGAACTCTGCCCTGAGAATCGCCACGAAACACACACGCGACACCAACGCACAAAATCTGCACAACGAAACAGCTGTCCTGCCCCTGAAGAACCACGTGCAGATGACGGCCTCGCAGCTGAGGGAGAAGAGTTAACTGGAAGAACACCCACTGAGAAGTATGATAAATCAAAAGCCAATCAGACTCATGAAAAAGACCATATACAACAGTGCGTATAGCATAAAAGTGTGCGACTGCAACAACAACAATAGTGATAGCAGCGTGGAGGTGAATAGAAACATGAAGACGTTGCATACCACCGCAGTTGAGAGATATCTAGAGTCGAGAACACCCAACAAGATTCTAAACGCACCAGCACCTAAAGTGAACGTAACAGAGAGGACTTTGGACCGAGGCATGAGGCGTACATTGGCGCAGTTAAGGGCGGGGAAATGCCCAATGCTTAGAGAATACCTCAATAAGATCGATGAGGCTAATTACCCAACACCATCATGCCCTCTGTGTCAAAACCACACCCACAACACACAACATCTGTTTGGGTGTGCTGAAATTCCATCCAGCCTGCAGCCTGAAGATCTATGGAATAAGCCAGTGGAAGTGTCCCAACTGATCATGCAGAGTGTGGCAAGACCGGCTCGACGCTCCGGAGGGGGATGGGCCTGGGCAGCACTCAGTCGAGTAACGTAATGATGTTGTACTTGAAAACAGGCGAAGAACATCATAAATAGCTCTAATTGAAAAAGAAAGCCTTTCTATAAAACTACATAAAGATCATTCAACAAAATAGTGACAATTTATATTGAGTGTTTTTTTTGCAGTTCTGTGTTGTCAGCAAATGTCACCATAACTAATGTTTCACTAAGAAAAAAAAAATGTCACGAAAACTAATAATGGAATCTGAATGAATGCTTAATATAACATACACAATAATGTCTTAGTCAACATAATACGTCATGCAAGGTCATGAAAGAAAATGAAAGAATTCATTTACGTTAATTGAGCCTCTTCATCTATTTTTTTGGAGTCAACATAACGGAGACTTGCGACGTGTTTAAATAGGATGTGAAGAATTTCCCCCGTTGTTATTGTTATCCAATCGAGCATGTCTGCAATGGACGTGTGGCGGTAATACGCGGTTAACGTATTTATTTGTGTATCTTAGATTACATCAAGATTTGAGAATAAACTTAAATTTTTCGTGTTTTGGGGCCCTGAGAAACCCCCAACATTCCAACGATACCTTATAGGTTTAGGGTTACTGATAAAGCTTATGAAAACACTTCATTCCACTACGGTCTTCTAATTATCGAATTAAATAATCAACGTAGTGTAGACTATTATACTGAAAAAACACTCCTGAATAATTCTCGGCTTCATCTTCTTCACTGCTTCTACTCAAACTTGAGCTCGTCCTGAAACCTGAGTTTCGAAGCTTTACTCCGCTCAGGCTTTCCGCGGCAAAACAATCATCTATCCTTGGCCTTCCGCACTTTATTTCCTCTGAACTCTAAACCAAATGACAATAAGAAATTACGAAAAAAACATAATTCTAAGCAAATATTACTGCCTCATCATCAATGATCAACTATTTCTATCCCTTACAGTCTTACACTGTGATGTCGACCTCACACTTCAATGATAATTTTTAAGTTGCAGTGAGTTAATTAATTAATTTCAATTTGCAGTAAACGAATGCGGCAAAACCATCCAACTCTCGCCTCAAAATAGAGGAGATAAATTTTTGGTGTACTCACATCCCGGGCTTGGATGCAAGGCTTTCCCCGATGGTCCGACCTACAACTGCAACGTCACCTTCACGTCACCTACTACACTGTTCGTTCTCTATGCTGGTTATTTTTCTGGCGCTGACGGGTCTTGCGACGGCTACACGCTGGGCCTTGAAAGAATTCTGCACGGCACTTCAGAAAACGTTAATTTGTGCACCGATGAATGGGTCAGTTATAGAAAGCGCTGTACCGTCTCCTCACATTACAAGAATCGAGTTATTCGAAGAATTTATTTGCACACAATTTCAGTGAAGATTTATGTGCAAGTTATTTGCAATCGCATTGAGTCACGACCTTATTGTGAAATTACTCAACATTGGTCCCAGCTAAATAATCACTCTAATTTCAATCATAATTGTAAAAATTTTTTAAATAGGTTATTTATTCGTTCTTCGCATTTGAAAGTTAATTTCCTTCGTTCCCTGCCACATGCACTCTATTGCAGGGCTGCATTAGTTTATACATTTTTTTGTCTAATAACTTGTTCGCTGTCACCTGCTGACTCCTCTATCATTCGTTTTGCATTACCGTTCGAAATCAAATCTCATTCATTGTTTATTAGAAATAAATCGAAAAAATGTCTACACATTGTTGGTCTTGAAAAAATAATAAATCACTAGAACATATATAATCACTCTGTGCCTCAGAGTTAAAATTACCACCTAATATGGTTTTAATTTTCAGCGCGACATCTTCGATTCTGTAACAATCACTCTCCGAGGCACTGCCGCGGCGAAGACGTTCAAAGCGGGGTTCTCTTTTTATATGAGTTATTGACGGACTAGTGTCTATACGTGTCTTCCGCCTAGTCCCATAATGATGAGACTGGCCGCCTAGTGTCTACGTGTCTACCACCTAGTCTCATAAGTGATGAGACTGGCAGTATAGTGTCTCCGTGTCTACCACCTAGTCTCATAAGTGATGAGACTGGCAGCCTAGTGTCTACTTGTCTACCACCTAGTCTCATAAGTGATGAGACTGGCAGCCTAGTGTCTACGTGTCTACCACCTAGTCTCATAAGTGATGAGACTGGCAGCCTAGTGTCTACGTGTCTACCGCCTAGTCTCATAAGTGATGAGACTGGCAGCCTAGTGTCTAC